GAAATCATTTTTGTTTTAAAATATTTCAATATGTAACAAGGTGTTTGTGAGGCAGTGGGTTGAGTTTCTTTTGATAGAAGGCTCTCGGGGACAAACATCAAACCGTATCTAGTATGTTTGTTTCATTGTCTCTGCCGGTGGCCACTGCTGTAGTGCGTGTGTGTGTGTGTGTGTGTGTCTTGGGCCACTATCATTATCAGCTGTTGGCCTCGGGATGAGAGACAGTCACTCTAAGACGCCTCTCTCTGTCTTTTCACATCTCCATTAATTTCTTTGTCCCATCGTCCTCTCAGGTTGCTCTTTGTGTGCGTGTGTTCAGCCTCAGGGACATACATTAGCGTATCCCTCAGGATCTGGTTGCCTTTGTCTTTTGTACAAGCATGATGCCGAAAATATGATGAAAACCTTGTATCTCCATGTTTAGTGAAGGGTTACAAGCCTCTGTGGGTGGAGAAAAACCTGCCTTATAAAAGCTTTTACTTCTGCAGTTTCTGAAAAGCTGACATGCATCTTGGACATAAAAGGCTTTGACTGGACAACATGGCAGTACATCATGGAATTAACATGACAGTGGGTACATTGAATTCTTTTTATTTTCCCACAGTAGTTGGATAAACTTAAAAATGTATTTTTACATTTTAGTTAGAAGATTGGTACCACTCTTGTGTCCGCACAGTAAGTAACAGAAAGCCTGGAAGCATCTAGTCTGACTCTGTCCACTTGTTTTTACACTGTGTTCTTTGTATGGATTAATTAATTAATTAGTGAGCTGTAGAGGTGCTGGTGGATGGATTTTGTTACTGTAGGTCAGAACCAGGGTAACAGTTTCCTCCTGCTTCTGGTCTAAGATGAGATAAGTGAAGTTGACTGATATAAGTGTGGCATGTTTCCCTAAAATGTTGCATTATTACTTTACTTTTATTTCACTTTTTTAAAAACTTTAAATTGTTTTCGCTCTTTAAACTTTATTTTATTACCAACATAACAATATTAATTGTGGCCTTTCTTTATATAGCACCTTAAAAACTGCTTTATTGTAAAAAGGATACAAGTAGTTAAAATCCAAAGTATACTGTAAAATACAGGCTAAAGTAGATCAAGTCTTGGTTTATCTGTCACACTCTGGTGGCACAGAGGTGAATCATTAAAGCACAACTACATCGAGGAGTGTAAATTATCATGTATTGACATTAAAACCATGAAGCTGAGAGTGAAACTCTGTGATGTGCATCTCTACACTGAGTCTCTTTGACATTTTAAACATTTAAATCTTCAGGTTGTTGTAAAGCACTGATCTGCTTTTATCAGATACTGAAGAAAATACTTCTGTTTTTCCTCTTCAGTCAGGAATCACATTGTAACTTGAGTGTGTGTTGGATTATAATCCAAAGATGTCCTCACTGATTACTGGCCCGCCTGGATTAGACTCACTCACATACATATTACAGCAGATAAGGTTAATGCAGATATTTGATTTCATTTTGATGCTGAATGCTCAGTTCACTACAGTAAGTTGCACTTTCTTTGTCTGCATCCTAGTCTGTGTATTGTATGTATGTGTACAAGCAGGTGTATATGTGCGTGTTGTATAATTCCCAGCTGAATAGAACAGATATACAGTATTTATTCCTCTCATACTAAATCTGATGTCAGCATCAGCTCGCAGTGTGTGTGTGTGTGTGTGTGTGTGTGTATTTTGGAGCAAATTCATCAAAGAGGCAGATTAACCAGCTGTCTGTAGAAACACAACATTGGCTACTAACAACCAGCTAGAAGAGAGAGAGAGAGGGAGACAGAGAGACAGGAAGTGTGGAAGCAGTGCAGTCTCTTGGATAACCACAGATAAACCATATTATATGGGAGGTTTATCTTGTGGCCATCATTTACAGCTGTTTCATCTTCCTTGCACACTAAAACACATTCTCCCCTTAGTGTGATGTGGACTGTGTTGTATTGTTTGCTAAATGGTTCCAGTAAAATATATTTATAACCGTTAAATTCTTCCAGAGGTTTTCTGCTGGAGTACAGGGAGCTGAGCGGTTTGATGCGATTGTTTGGTCAGTCATGTTTTCTAGTTTGAAAAAGTCTCAATTTACCAAGAATTCATAGCAAAGTAGTGCTATTAGTGCTAGACAGACAAGAGTTAAAGAGCTCTGTGTAATAGATAAATAGAGATATCTATCTAAAATCTGATTATAATTTTGATCTAATCCATAGTCAGAGTCTGTCTTTGTGCAGCTGGCCCCGATACAAATAAATGAGTGGTCTCTTCCAGGATGACAGGGCCTGAGGGGTCACTCCATGGTTTGATGAGCATAAAAATGATGCGAATCATATGCTATGGCCTTCACAGTCACCAGATCTCATCCCCAGTTGAACACCTATATGTGAGATTTTGGAGCGATTTGTTAGACAGCGTCTCCAAGAAGAATGGGGAAGAATGGGGTTCATCCCTTCAGTGGAGTTCAGAGACTTGGAGAATGAATGCCCAAATGCACTGAAGCTGATCTAGTGGTGGTGGTACGTGGTGACCCAACACCTTACTGAGACACATTATGTTGGGTTTTTTTTCTTTATTTTGTCACCCATCTAAATGTTAGTTATGGCAATAAGGCTAACAGAATATGAAAAAACTCAGTGTGTATGTGTTCCCTGTCAGAGGTCATGTAACTTGGCAGAGCTGAGAGGACAGCAGATGGACACAGTCGTGGACTGACACACACACACACACTGTATTCTAGACACACATATGTCATCCTTCCTGTCTCCTCTTACTCATTACTTCATCACTCTCCCTGTGTGTGTTTGATGCCTCACATTCTGCATCTGGTGTCACTCAGCTATCACTCCTGTCTGTCTCCTTTTAGATTATGTTCTTGTGCATGTTCACTCTCACCTTTACATCAGTACTGCTTGCAATGCTGCTATGTTACTGTAGATCTCCACTGTTATCCATCTGGAGTCATGTCATGCAAAATATTAGTTATATAGCCCAATATCACATATCAGATATTTGCCTCAAACGGTCTTTACAGTCTGTACAACAAACATACTGTATGAAACTCTCTGTTCTTAGATCCTTGAATCAGATAAGGTAGAACTCCCCCAAATTCCTTTAGTGAGAAAAAAAATGGAAGAAACGTCAGGGAGAGCAACAAAGGAAGGATCCCTCTTAAAAGATAGACAGACATGGAATAGATGTCATGGTTTTAATGTAATGTTCTGATGTTTCTAGATATTTCTTTGCCTATGTTTTGGAGAACATTTCAAAAGAACTTATATGTAGTACGTTCCAGTTGTCTGTAGACCATAGCATGGAGTTTGAATGATTAGTTTTTATAGGCTGACTATAGTAAATCCTCACTGTCAAGGCCTGTACTGCATTACACTGGCAGATGTTTCATTTTGTCCACCCCATTTCATATATCAGAGGCTGGGTTAATAACAGAAACACCTCTCTGTATAACAGTTCAGTTCAACATCAGCACAAACTACATCCTCCACAACGTGCAGATGAATCAACACATCTGAAACAGTTGGAACAAACTGCAATAGCTCCTTCTGTTGTGGACTTTCCAAGGCCAGTACTGTCAAGATGGCATGCTGTTTGTCAGTGGTGCAAATTTGTGTGATAAAGTCGAGCTGGATGGGAGAAAAATCAACCAGATATATTTCACCTACAGTGCAAAATGTCATTGTTTTAAATGGGTCTCTAATTGTTTTGGACCTCTTTTATCACAGCCGGTCACTTACTTTTAATTACCTTGTACTAATTTCCTAATCATTCACCTGAATATCAAGGATGTGACCGCCATAAGTCACCACCATCTATTCAGTTTTGTTCTTCTTCTTCTTCCTCAGTAATGAAGACTCCTCTCAGCCCTTCTCAGATCTTTGCTTTTGGAGGGATGTGTCAAGAGCTGATGGACACACCTACACCTACAACCATCAGTCTCTGCACCAAGCAGGCTCCAGGTGATTAGGTGTTCCTGCATCACTGCCCCTTATTATCTCCTGCCATTCCAGTCTATCCTTGGTGTTTTCACCCACAGTCTGACCCTTCCTTGTTGTTTTGTTCCAGGTCAGGGCGGGGCCTACTCGCTGTGTGAGGTGTGTAACCTGCAGGTGACCTCTGCTGCTCAGGCCCAGCTGCACTATAATGGCCGCTCTCACCTCCGGAGAGTGAGACAGCTCCAGGCTGGAGAGACAGGACAACAGGCAGCAGGTACATTATTACTACTACTGTCATGTTATTGTAGCAGCACTAGTACTGTATATGCATGAGTCATCAGCTAATGAGAAAGTATTAAAACAATAAACTCAAACCAAACCTCAGAGATAGTAGCATGGGCGAAGCCAAGGGAGTGGCCATGGAATCTGATTGGCTACCCCTGCCAGAGTCCAAATGTCATTCTTGTCAGTATTAATGAGTGAAAACAATAATTGTTGTCTTGCTGTATTTGATTCAAGCAGGGGCTCAGTCCAGGCCTCCTCCCCAGGCCACGGGGCTCAGCTCCCAGCCTGCAGGACTCACTCTGACCCCAGGCCTCAGCGCTCCATCCAACACGACTACAGGTAGGACAAGTTTTACTACTGGTTCTGCTACTGCCCGTGTACTGCACGAACTGATTCATCAAGTCTCATGTGTCTCGTGATGTTTGTGTTTCACACCTCTACTGCTGGCATGCATATGCAGTACATTCTGTACTGGAGATCACTAGTCAGTAGTTTGTGCTCCTCATCCAAACTACATCACAGTAACCAGAGGGACGCTAAACAGGACATTCAATTTAAATTCAGATTGTCTGTATGCTGAGTGAGACTGACTTTGACTCATCCATAAACAACAGCTGCTGCCTCCTAGGAGAGGTCACTGAGTGTGTCTCTGTGTATGAATGTGGTATCAGTGACTCAGATTGACCCCTAAAAAGATAAACTTACTTTGCATCAACCTCAACTTCGCTTTATCTCTGCTTCAACACCTGCCAGTCATGCTGATGAACTGTCAGCTTCCTCAAGGCTCCATAAAATTCTCACAGTACGTTTTATGTTAATGCTAATGTGTTGTTGAATATCAGGACTCTCTCTTCTTTCTTTTGTTGCTGTAGTTGTTACTCTGACATCCAGGAGATCATGCCTCATATGGATACAAATAATACATTCACATTAGGACACTTATATTAGGCTCTTGAGATGGCAGTGTTTGTTGCAGTTGCTGTTGAGCAAGTCACTTGAGATGGCAGTGTTTGTTGCAGTTGCTGAGGGGGAAGTCACTATATAACTGTAGTCAGATACTCATTAGAAATGACAAATTGCACAAAAAGTGATGCATTACATTACTTGTTTCTTTACTGTTGTTGCTCAACTGTCAGGTCTGTCCATGGTGCCCTTAAACAACTCCAAATCCTCCACACTCACACATCACAGCTTTTGTTTATAACCTGTGCAGAAAGGGAAAACTAGGCATTTTGGTTTAACAAGCAGGCAGCCCTACAATTTGGAGGGGTTTACTGACCATCTAGCAACTAGTTGAACTTCAGTGACTTCAAACAGCTCTTCAGATGTGAGCTCCAGCAGGCAATTACAAAGTTACACTCCCTCCAACTCTAGTCACTCATAAATGTACACACACCTGTGGCTAATTATTTGCCATATCAGTCACCCAAGAACACACAACATTTAAATAAGACAACCTTGTAATTATCTGGAGTTGCATTCCTCCTTTTTAGATGACCACCAACCTTGTACCTTATACCACCATTGACATTATTACCTGTGCTGTAATTTCTGAATTTCAGATTGTAATCTCTTACATCACTGAAAAAAAGTAATCACAGTACATGTGATAATGTGCTGCCCAACACTGTTGGTTGGTCCAGCCTGAAATATCTAAACAACTTTGAATAGAAGTTTTAAGTTTGATGCAAACATTCATGGTGATACCCTGACAATTCTTCTAGCACCACCAGAAGGTCAAAGTTTTAATTCTGCAAAATATCTCAAAATGTACTTGATGTATTGCACAAAATTTGGTACAGATATCCTGCTGTCTGTTTCCTGAACAGACTCAGTTTAGTTTATCTTTTTATCACTAGCCATTTGGCAACACACACACAGTGATGCAGACAATATGTGTCTGACTGTTCAGTTACATACTGTATCATCCTTGGCTTTTTGTATTAGTGATAATATTGTATATTTAAAGTGTTCAGGTTAAGATGAGCTTTCATACAGCAGGGTTCAGAGCTCTTCTCTCTGCTGGTGAGATTATGGTTGATGCTCTTCACATATCTTAACCCTCCCTTCATCCTGTGATCTGATGTGAATGGATCTGTTTCAGAATGTCTAGTAATTCAGACCCAGTTTTTCAAAAGTCAAATGGCTGGTCAACAGAGTGAAAATGTGCTGTGAGATGTAAAGAAGTTAAAGTGGAGCAGACAGCAGCAGGTCATTAAACTGGAGCACAGCACTGCTCCAAAACCACACTGGCAATTCTCAAAGAAATCCTTAAATTCTCCTATATAGATTCTTATCATCACACTGTATTTGGTGGTAAACCCTCAGTGTCTGTCACAAAGTTCTGCTGTGATAAAATCTTTATCAATTTGTAATAGTTTTCTAGTTTGTTGTCATTTTCTTTCTTCATCAAAAATACAGTGCAGAACTTCCATTTGAAAATCTGCCAATTTAGCCTTGAATGGAGCTGACCTTCATTTTTGGCTACAAAAATTCAACATCACAAAAAGAAAAATTAACAAAATATGAATTAAAATATAATAAATAAGTTCTAACATCAACAAAACAAGAGGACTAAAAATATACACATACACACACACACACATCTAATTGCAATGCATGAGCTGATGATGATGTCAGGAGAGACAGGAAGCTCCATCTCACGCTGACACAGGTGTGTGTGGGCGTGGCAGCTGTAATTACATACTGTGTGTCCATATCAGTGTACAGGATATGATAACACTGATTAAAGATTAAATCTGTCTCTACTGGGCATACACACACACAAACATGCACACACCACTCAGTCTGAATGGTTATGTCTCTCTCTTTTTCTCTCTGTCCATTACATGATGCTTGCTCAACCATGAAAAGCTCTTTGGCCTGAACGCAGCTCATCTAGACTAGGCTGTGTGTATGTGGGTGTGTGAGTGTGACAGTGACCTGGCTGAGCAGCCTATCAGCAGTGAGGTCAGATGACATCACAGTTTATACAAACAGTTGTGCTGCAGGGAGACAACTGACACATTCTGAGAGCTCCTCAACTAAGATGCTTAAATAAAACTGCTGGAATCAGTTATTTTGTATCGATTGTTGTGTATTGTTCAAAGTATGGTGATCATCAACAAAAGCAAAAGTACTCATTTCGTAGAATACTGAGTCCCATCAGAGGTATAGTATGATATATTAATGATGTATTAATTTCTCATCAGCAGTTTAATGATCTTACTAGTTATAACCTCTTTATATGCTGCTGGGTAATTTAATCTAAAACAATGCATCATATTTTATGAATTGAAGGCAAAAATAAAATGCACAATTATATTATACTTTTCTCTAATAGAGGAGATGAGAGAACATTGCTGTTTATACTAAACAGTGGGGGCATGCTGCATAGAGTTTGCTCTAGCTAAATAGTCATAGTTATGTTTGTTGTGGCCACTAGGAGGCACCATACACAGTCATACACCAAGTCACCAATGACAGAAGTGAAGTCACGTTATTCACATGCTCAGTATAAATGAAGAAATTAACTCATATGAGACTAATAAGATTTATAATATTAATTCATCACTCCTGCCCTTTCTATCTTTTTTCCTCTCCTTAGTTTTTGCAACTACTCAAGGCAATAACACTAATGTGTTTTGACCACCTAATGTGTAATGTGTCCTGCAATGCCAAAGAATCTGATATGTGAAGTATTTCAAGGAGGATACTGAAGTAAATTTTTTTTGCAGGGTAAAATATTGATTAGATGTTTCTATATAGTAGTGGAAATATTAAAATCGGCGCTCCTTTTCCTTCCTTTCCTTTTGTGATTTGTGTGTGTGTTCTTGTATTTTCTATATAGTGAGGACCAAAAAAGTATCTTTTTTTTGCTACAGAGTGAGGACATTTTTGCTGGTCCTCACTTTCTCAAACAGCTTTTTGAGGATTAAGACTTGATTTTAGGGTTCAGATTAGAATTAGGTTTAGTATTAGGGTAAGGGTTAGGTTTAGGCATTTAGTTCTGTTGATTAAGGTTAAGATAAGGGGCTAGGGAATGCATAATGTCAGTGAGTGTCGTCACAAGTTAGAAGTACAAGAATGTGTGTCTAAGCTAGCTCTAATTAGCTTTGTTGGGCTCATAAAGGTCAGCATGTTGTCCTGTTGATACCCCATACATAATGAGGAGAGACACAGACAGCTATTAATAGACATGTATTGTGGCAGTGTGTGTGCGAGGTGGAGAGATTGAGCCAGTGTTGATGTGTGGTCTAACATTGATGTATTCAGCAGTGTATGAATAGACACTGCTGACAGATTCACCCGTTCCCAATACATTAGAGTGGTGACAATGGGCGCAGAGGTGGGGGCTGGATGGGAGTATATGACCATCTTTGCACTCACATGACCCACATCATGTCCACCAGTAGACAACTTGTAATACTAGTGGCACTAGCTGAGGTTGCGCTGGTAGAATACTACTAGTATAAACCTAACCAACATGGCTATGTAGGTTCAGTGGCATCTAAGACTGGATCTGTAACAGCAGGACTGGACTTGTAGGACTGAGAATGGTCTAGTAGACCTAATACAGGACTTGTGCAAATGGTAGGGCTGGTGGAGGACTAGTAGAAAACTGCAGGTCTAACAGATGTAGTAGAAGACTGGCATTATTATAAAAGAAGTGGTAAGGCTAATAGAATGGGTTAGGGGGCTGATACTATAAGAATTAAAAGGTCCTGTAGAGTACTTGTAGGACTAGCAAACTAGGAGAGGAGCAGGACTAGTCAAGGTCTAGTGGAAAATAGAAAATATAGCTGAGGACTGGTTGGATTGATAAGACCTATAGATACCTGTTTGGACTGGTAGGACAGGTAAAGGAACTGGTAGGACTAGTCAAAGTCTACTAGAAAACTAGCAGAACTAGTAAAGTGCTGGTAGAAGACTCGTAGGACTAGCAGAAGGGGCCAGACAAGGTCTAGTGTCACACTTATAGGAAGGATAGTAAAGGAGTAGTAGGAGTAGCCGAGCTCTAGTGGAAAATCCATGGGACTAGTTGAACTAGCCGAGAACTGGTAGGGCTGGTTAACTTCTATTAGAAAACTAGTGGGACTAGTGGGAGCCAGAAGAGGACTGATCAGACTAGTCAAGGTACAGTAGACATCTTAGACTAATGGAACTATTAAGGCATCAGTAGAACTAGTTAGCATTTAGTAGACAACTTGTAATACTAGTAGAACTGGTCAAGGTCTAGAGGAAACTGGTATGACTAGAGGAACAAGGACTAGTCAGGGTACACTATAAATTTTGTAGGAAAACGGCACAAGACCAGTTGGACTGACAGAAGACTGGTT